TGCCACTTGAGGCTATAAACTGTGAAGAGCTCTTTCGGCTGCAGCTGCTACGACTGAGGCAGCTGCCCCATTGAGTGTCCTTCAAATTGACTATAGCTGGCTGCTCTATATGTGTGTGTGTACGTGTGTGCGTATGTGTGCATAGCGTTTATCCACTCAGCCAGTTGCCTACTTGCCTGCAACTAGAAAAACGGTGAATAATTCAACTCAAACCCAGATATAGACTTTTATTGGACCAGCTTGAGATCTGTGCAATATGCAGAGCTTTTAATTTGTAACACTTGATAAGCCCAAAATTGCAGCTTTTAATTATTAAAATAAGTCGGAGCGGTTACCTTTGAGTTGATATTAAGTCAAGTTGGTCTCAAATCGGACGACCAATTTACTGCGGAACATTAAACCAGATTTTCTTGTTGAAGAGTACAGCTAGCACTGCACAGTTGTGGATGGGAAGTTATCAAATTTAATTTATGCACAATCATTTTGTTTATTCTTTAGAAAATTTTAAAAAAAGGCAGGTATATATATATATATAAAACCAGTATATCATATAGCTCCAATATAAGAACCTACTTTTCAACCGATCATTTCTATGGGAGCTATATGATATAATGGTCCAATCAAGCCGGATCCGGAATATGTATGCAAACTGAGACACTAGTTCGCATAGAAACAGAAAAACGGCTGTTGATGCTGATCTAGAATATGTTTAGTTTATGGGATCGGAGATGTCACCTTCTATGCTTTACACATGTCATGACAAAATTAGAATTCTCTCTACAAGGGTATAAAAAGTGTTTCAGGCAATAACTTAATATTTAACCGATCGGCTCTATGGTAGGTACAGACGTCTAGCTCCGACATGATATAGTGGTCCAATCTGTCCAGCTCAGAGAAAGTTTGTCGAGCAACAGACAATCTTGGCTACATCAACCTCTCTGTACATACTGATCACAAATATATTCACTTTGTGGTCGCTGTGATGTCGTCTTCTTTGCTCTGCTGCTTTTAACAGAAATATTGAATGCCCTCTGCTGGGATTTAATAAGTTCTGTTAAGTTCGCTGTTGTCAAAGTGTCAAAGTAAGCCCGCTCGGAAAGGGCTTAAATTAAATTAATTGACGAACACTTGTAAAGTAAATTAAAATTGCCCGACTCACTCGCTGACGGACTGACTAAATGGCTGGCCGGCTGACTGCATGTGCTCCTGTTGCTGCTTCTTCTTCATTTGGCTGTTGGCGTCGTTAAAGAGATTACAAAGGGTCAAAGGGTTAGCTGCGATTGCTCATAATTGCCTGACGCCTGCGGCCAGCCCGAATTTTCTTTTTTCCATTGATGTTTTTTTCTTCTTGTGTGTGTGTGCTATACAAACACCATACACACACACACACTCACATACACACACGCGCACACACAGTTGACATTTGCTTGTCAAACTAATTAAATTTTTGGCTGGCCAGCAGCAAGAGCCAAATTGGCGCCTGGAATTGGTAATTACCAGGGCTGAAGTGCAACTCAAACACGTAAAAGAAAACGAGACAGAAACGAGAAACCGTCTCCAAAACGGACCGTGGTCCGCAGTTGATGCTGCATCAACTCCTGCTTCTGCTATTGCTGCTGCTGCTGCTGCAATTAGCCAACAGTCGCACTGACAATCAACCAAAAGGCAAACGACGCCAAGCGACTGACAACGCGTGCATGTCCTTTGTGTCCTTAGCTATAGAGTGTGGGTGTTGCGGGTGCTGCTGCCTAATTACTTGTAAGTTGGCGAATTTGTGGCAAGGCGTTTGTCCTCCAGCAACCAAATTCAATTTGGCCCCACACTGCGGTCAGTTGGGCAACAGTTGCAGCCATATCCATGTCTCAACGCCCAGCGCCCACCTTCCACGCCCATTTTCATGTCTGCCGGATGCTGACATCGCGCACATGCACATCCGTATCCGGTTTCCTGTAGCGACAACGATAACGACGCCTTCTTGATTGCCAGCGCGTAATTATTTTTTAAGCACTTTGTCTCCCTGCAAAATTAGACTTAACTAAGCCAATTTTTTGGCGTTCCATTTTTTTTTTCGTTGGTCGCTATACCCTATATGCATAGAAATGTTGAGAAAGTGTATTATCATGTTGTGAAAATATGTGTTATATACAATGGAACGGATAGTAGTTAATTTGAAGCATACATTTCTCAACTGAAGCAATGCTGCAATTATTTTAGCACACATTATTAATGGCCAGTGTTTAGGATATCCCATCTATTTAAATTCGATGATCTCTGAGATCTTAGGAGGTAGAGAAAGGAAGATTGGTGTGTGAGTTCCTGTATGCCAAATACTAATTCAAATAAAGTCACATTTGGGATATGTAGCCCTGTAAACCTGATATTGAAGAATATTGATCAATTATATTATCCTAAAATTGTGTGAATTACTTGAGATTTGAGTCAAATTTTATTATATATAAATATTTATCATATTTAAAATACTTATTCTTTTATATCGGTCTATAAATCTGTTTACAATCCGAAAGCTGTTTTAAGAGCTAGAATGCTAAAGATTGTTCTCATAAGCCGAAGTCTGGTTAAATAAGTTTCAATTCGGGTTTCTTTACTTCAGTTGTGGGTGCTTATTTAATTACAGGGTATATACTAGTTAAGCAACTGCGACTATGCATTTTGAACTGCCTTTTTGTGTGGGTTTGTGGGGATTGTGGCAAAATTTGACTAGCGGGCCACGAATGCCCTGGGTCACACACACACACACACACACCCTATTTGTTGGTGTTGTCGGCTCTCTTGGTTTCCATTTTTTTGTGCTTCTCCATTTATTTTTATGGTTTTGTTTGGCTGCTTTGTCCAATTAGTAACAGTTTGGGTTACGATTTCATTTCTTTTATTGTGCCTCGTTATCCTTTTTATTTTGCCAGCGCTGGCTGCCGCCTGCTGCCTGTGCGCAAATTTGATATCCTTGTTATGGCAAATTGTTGTATGTACTGGTACAATTATTTTCACTGCCGTCTCGTGTCGCTGGGGTATTGCGTGTGCCGTAACCCGCTCCCGCTGTTTTTCTCTATCTCAGATCTGTCTCTCGTTCTCTTTGTTTCTCTCTCTCGCTCTTTGTCTCTGTGGCAATCGAATTGTATTTATGTTTATTTATGCTGTTTGGAAAAAAACGTCGCTGCACTCAACGCTGCCGGATCCTAGCGTTCTTGTTCATTGTCCTGGCGTTCAATATTGTCGCCCCTTCGATTATTTATGATGCTCGCTTGCAGCTCGCGCCGTACTCCCAGCGGGCCTGTGGCCAAGTTTTAGTAGTCATCGTTTGCCCAGTAATAAATTTATGCTTTTTTATTTCCTCCTGTCATAATTTTACCCTCAAATAAACACACACACTCACACGCACATGCGCTTATATAAAGTGCTTGGGCATTTTTCTTCGCCTCGTGCAGCATTTTCTTTGTGGCTCCTCCTAAGCACCGAATGCTGTCTAAAAAATTTTCCAATTGATAAATTATTTTATGGCAAATACACAAATTTTCTCATACGCATGTGCGTTGTGTGTGTGCGTGCGTGTGTGCGGTTTCTCTTGTTGTTGTGGTTTGGTTTCCGATTTTCCCTTTGGGTTGCCTCCCATATTGTAAGGCTCTTTGCTCTTCGCTCATTTTCCTTGCACATAAAAATACTCTGCATGGGCTTATGTGAATATGTGTACATAAGTAATATCCGTGTGTATTCTTGCATATTTCCGTCCATATCCTTTGGGCCGGTCCTTGTCATTGGCATGGACTGCTCAGCTGCTCAGCACACACTCGATTCCTGCTGCAGAGCTCAAACACATAAAATCAATCATATTTGCTGGGTATTTTCTTGTTTTTTTTCTTTTGCTGTTTTTTCTGCCTCTCATTTTTTTCGTCCCTAACTTGTCTTTATCATTGTTTTTTTTTTTTTTGTTTACTTGCGTCCCAATTTGTTGCTTCGTTTGTCTTTTCTTTGAGTTTTAGTTCCTTTTTTTTTGTTGTCGCCTTAAGCTTTACTTCCAAAGACAGCTTCAACAATTTCGAGATTAATGTGACGATATACCATGCAGGGTATCTGCCAGTCGTGCCTGTGCCGCTTCTTGTGCAACATCTAACAAATTCGAATCAATTTGTAAAGCATTTAAGTTTCTTTGCCATGCGTAGACCTTTAAAAATATGCAACATTAATTTTAATAGAATTGTTTATGGATGGACGAGGGGCTAGCATATGAAAAGTGGGTGTGGCCGGGCGCCTGCTGGCTAGCAAATGATGCGCAGTTAGTTTATTTTTTTGTGTGTGTCATGCATGCAGAACTGCCATGTCATATTAAATGTAGAGGCAGGCAGAAAAAAAAAAATAGAGAATGAAAAAAAAAACAAGAAAATGCAGAGCAAATCCGAGCGAAAAGCCGCGCCAAATCAAAGCCAACAATATTTTTCAGGATTATTTCAGTTGGCTTGCCGTTGACTGCACAAACAGAGAGAGATAGTTAGAGCGTAAGAGAGAGAGAGAGAGAGAGAGAGAGAGTGAGTGAGAGGGGGGAGAGTGGGTAGAGAGAGACAGGCTGGGTCTATGCTTTGGTGACACACCAAAAAATTTGTGTTCCCAAACATTTTCTGTTAATTTGGCAGCGTGTGTTGTGTTTTTTTGGCCCGGCATCGTTTCGATTTTTTTACGCTTTACTTGAGTTTTATTCGTAATACAAAAAAGCAACAAAATAAAAAACAAAAAAATATAGAAAATAGTATAAGCTGCAGAGCCCCTCGCCAAACGCCGCTGCAGATATGCAAAACGCAGCGCGCACATAAATTTTAGGGTTTGCTCTACGCTTATTTGCATAGGAATTATGTATTTGGGCACAACGGTTTAGCAGCATTACACAACTCACAAATACACACACTCACACACATACTCAAGGCACACGGCAGTGGACATTGTGGTTATGTGGAAAAACTAACGCATATATTGTTTTTGCTTCTATTTTGCAGCTATAAATTTGAAACGCCCCAGGAAAATGCATTGCAGCAGAACAAGCAATTAAAATAGAGACCGAAACCAAAACGGAGACCAAGGCCGAGGCTGCGATTGCAACAAGGAGTTGTCCTGCGAACGAGTCCTGCCCCGAGTGTCGACTGTTTGGTGTCGCCCTGTGCTAAAAACCTATTTTGAATAATTAAAATTCAGTAAGTGTTGCTGCTGCTGGTGCTGCTGCAACTTTTGCAACAATCTGCAGGCGTCTGTAACAAACACAACAACAACAAGAACAACAATGATATAATTAATTCAATGCACCTGAATACGAAAGCTTACACACGAAACTCCTTCAAATCCAATTGAGTGCAACAGCCGCAAGAGCACAACCACAAGAACAGCAGTTAGAACAACTGCAACAACAACAACCACAACAACAACCGCGACGACAACAACAACTAAGTTTACTCAAGCCAGCTGTAAAATGGCGGCACACCGGCCAATGGCAACAATTAGCCAATGCAAGGACAAGCGAAGACAAATCCGCAGCAGGACACATCTAACCGAGATCCTGCGCCGCACACTGCCCATTGTTATCATCGTCGTGCTGCTGCTAACACAGCACTGGGAAAGCGGTAAGTCGAAGACCGCTACCTTAAGCTATCCAGCATTCAAAAACAACATATATGATCAGCGAGCATGTGTCAACTTACTCGAAATGCCAGCTCACAGCTTAAAGCTGAGTGCGTGTCGTGGCTTGCATTTGTGTCTACCTTCGGTGCCTATAGTCAGATCTTTTTGACATTTTTTAGTGCCCATGGCATACAAAAGAGTGTGTATGCCCAAGTGCAAGGCTTTTCCAATGAAAATAGCACTTTGCGATTCGATTTTAGCATGCGGGTAGCCAAATAGTGAAATATTTGATATATATATATATATTTACCATAGGAGTGCCTACATATCAAGATTGGTGCCAACACATCTAATTATATGCAAGCACAAGATCTATAACACCTGGTCACACTTTCGAAGCTTAAACATGTTGTAAATTATAACAAATCTTTATAATCCTAATAAATATTTTTAAAAATCTTAAATTAACATTTAATAATAATTGTTATTACTTGCCATGCACTATGATATTACATGCCTTTATTTTTGATGTTGAGTGTGGCGTGCGTGTTTTTAGTTTCCTCGAAAAAAGCATCTTCTCACTTCCATCTGAGGTATCCCAGTTCTCAAGTCAATCGGCATAAAGTTGAGCTTGAGATGGGCAACCGCTAAGCCATTCAATTGGCAGTTCTACAAATTGTGCTGGGCACTGAATATCCTTGGCAATATCCTTGTTGAATTAATCTCACTTGGGCAGATAAATATTTCAAAAGCGAAACTTAAGCAATTAATTTCGCTAATTGCTTTTCTTTGCAACGTTTTTGTTTCGTGTTGCGGTGGCGATGGAGTGGTTGAAGTAAGGTTGGCGGGGGATCTGGCTGGTCGTTGAGTTTTGCATTCAAATGCATTTCAAGGACTCAACTTTGGCACCGCACAAAACTCAATCTGACATTTATGCGAATGTCCACGGTATCAAATAAGAGTAATGACATTGCAGCTGCCCTTAAAACGAGCCAAAGGACGAGGACTGAGAACGAAACCCAGAGCACCAAACGAAGGATCGTCTTGGGAGCTGTTGCCCGGCTGCACAGACAGTGCAATGTCCTTTTGGCTACTCAAACATTCCAGTGGCTATTAGTATTCATATCTTGACTGAACTTAACTGAAAGCTTAAACTGCTGCCAGCCTGGGCGAGCAGTAGGGCTGACATGGAAGACGGTGCGAATTGAATGGACGGGTGCGAGGAGCGGTCGTTTTTAAGACCCTCTGCGAGCGTTTTGCATGCATTTTCATTTTGTGCTAGAATTGCTGAAAAAGATGCAATTAAATTTTAGAACAAGGGGTGTCAAGCTGCGCATGGAATATTCGAGTCCGTTTTTGCTATCCTCTCTGTCTCTATCTTTCTCTCTCCCTCTCTCTCTCTCTCGCTCCCTCGCTCTCTTTCTCTATCCCTTGCGGTTGCAGCTGCTGTCAGTGGCAAAGAACGCATTATTAATTTATTTTTCCCCAACTTGCAAGATGAATAAGCAAAGAGCAAAAATTTTCCACGACTGACTACGCTTTTACTCTCCAGCAAAATTTTCTATTTAAATGTCGCTATGCAGACCCCCACTCCCCTCTAAATGCCCGTGGTTCCTTCGATTTCGCTGCTGCCAAGTCATTTTGCATGCAGTTCTGCTTTGGCCAAGTTAACTGAAGTCGACGTGCTTCGACATGGCCCGAAAACGGTTCCTCAATCTGCTGTCCATCAGTTGGCTTCGATCGTGTGATGGCTGTGCGCGCTGTCTCTCTCAGTCGTGGCAGCAGCACCGCAAGGAAATAAAATCCAAAAGTGAATAATGAACCGCAAATAACTTTACTTTGTGTTGCCAAGTTTGCACAGCCAACCATCCAGCGCCACCCAGCAGGACCCAGCAGCACCCAGCTGCACTCATCAGCAATTCCACCACCCACCCAACAGCTAGCAGCTATCCGCCATTCGAACTGCATCCGTTTCTAACCAAATCCGACTTGCCGCTTCTCGTGCAGTTGTTTCAATTGCTGCGGGACGTTTGTCTGTGCTATCAGCCAGCAGCAGCAGCAGCACCAGCACCAGCAGCAACAGCAACAACAGCAACAGTTGCAACAGAAGTTGTTTCAGTGTCGGTAACAATTATTTCGGCTTGTAGTTAGTTGAGTTGAGTTGAATTTGGTTTGGTTTTTAGTGGGGTTTAATTATTTTTATTTTGTGAATACCCTTGCATCGCATACTTACATTTTTTGCACCTCTCTGTTACGCATGGGTCCAATATTATATATAATGGTGGTCTTTATCAAAAGCTTCTTATGTTAGTCTCCCAGTCTTAAAACAAATTCGAAGAACTATGTAAAGCTCTGTCTTCTTGATGCAGCATGTTCGCCAGATATAAAATCTTATATAAAAGACTTTCAATTGCAACAGTCAGTAAAAAGTAAAGTTATAGGTTGAGAAATATTTTTGTATTACATATATATAAACTAACCCAGCAATATTTATATATAAACTTCCCACTTATATTATATACTTCCCACATATATTTAAAATTTAAGCAAGGTCGCTCGCTACATTATTTATTATATTTTTTTTTGTTCTTTAAGGTATCTGAACCAAATTTAGCAATTCCGAGCTTCACAAGGCTTTAATATATCCGACTAATGTTTCATGTAGCTCTAAACGTCAGTCAGGAAATACATTTTTGTCTTTCAGGATATTTGTTTTTAACAAAAATCAGTAAATATGAGCTTCACCTTTTAACTACAAAATATTATTTGCTTTTAAGCATTTCATCATATAGCTGAAACGGTCTGTTCCTAAATAATTTCGAGATATCTAAGCCAAACTTAGGATTAAGGAGCTTCACAATGCCAAAGAAATATGGTTCTTATATGATAAGCTCTTCGGTTTTTTAAGGTTTTTCTGCCAAGCTTGGCACTTAGAAATTTTATAGCGTCACATGCTCAATCAAAACTATAGGAACAGTCGGCGTGTAGTAAAACAATACTTCCAAGTACAAATATACATATGTTGCATATATGCTAGGGTATTCAATTTTCAGCACTTTCAAAGACAACTTTTCCAAATTTTTGCAGTTTCTCCGAATATTTGCATTTGCGGCTGCAACTCCCAGTAGTCTTAGACTCCACCCCAACACCAGGCGCCATCCAACATGAAGCTCATCATTTGGTCTGCTGATGAAGTGCAAATCGCTTTATGAATACCAGCTGATAGAGCGAACCGAGTGTATTTCATTTAAATATTTGTGTCACAAATCGCACGCGCTGGTTTATCTGTGCATTCCCTGAGCTTCTGAGGCTGTCTAAACCCCAACTAATCAAGTTGACATAGGTTTACCTGCGAGCTACCTGGTAAAACTTTGACAAAACTTTCGATTTTCGTAAACTTTAGCTAGCTGTCCCAGATAAGAGTTCAATGGAACTGAAATTTATTAACTGCTTTGCCAGCACATGCAAATAAATCAACAAAAAAAGAACACAACAAAAATAAAAAACAAAATACATTTAAAATAAAAATGATAAACCGAAAACTTTTGAGGAAGGCGTGTTTGAGCAAGGACTGAGATAAGCCAAGTCAACCGTTAAAGTTACGCCCTCAAAAAAACCTCAAGGATATTGACATGTGACTAAAATGCCAACAAATGTAAATGCAAAAAGCCTTCCGAACGCATGGGGGAGTTCAAGAGTTGGCACACTCTTTCATATACAGGGTATTTGCAGTGTATATATAGTTAATGGGGTGTGAGCCCCTTAAGACTTTCGAAGCATTTTTATCGCATTCATAGAATTATTGAGTGTGAATCTATGAAGTATTTATGTATATACGTTAAGTGTGTTTACAGAATAATAATGCATCAATAAGCTTAAATTTTAAATAATTTACGGTATATATTGATTAGAAACTGATTTTCTGAATCTGATTAAAAGGTTAAATTTGTATGATTTTTTTACTTAAAAAAAAACAATTCTGTAATTTTAGGCACTGCAAGCCCACGAAACTTGTTTTTCTAGACGATATTTAACAAGGACTTACAGGGTATCTGTAAGGTTGCTTCTGAGATATGAGTGTATTTACATAAAAGGAACTTGCACTAAACAGCCAGTTTCTCGAAGTACTTTGAGTATGTGCGAACTTATATGTCTTTAAGTTGTTTTAGCAGTCTTAACAGGGTATCTTTTGGTTTAATCTAACTTCTGATTCGTATATAGCATGTATTTACCTGTTTATCCCAATGCTAATCGTTATTGTCATGTGTATTCATGCATAACAACCGATAGCCATTCAATTTAATACTTCTTATATTATACTACGCGCTTATACGACTTTCTAACTCTTTACCTATAGGGTAAATGCCTACAGGGTATAATTAAGTCGCTCACTGTGTGCAGCATTGCAGGCACTTGTTGTAGGTGCGGCTGTGTCAAGTATTTGCACTTGCGCTAAGCAAAATTTACGCGCATTTGTTTGTACGACTCCAGAGAATTGCTCGGCGGCGTCTCGTGTTCAAGTGAAAATCGATGAGTTGTATGTGCGTGTGTGTGTGCGAGTGTATGATTGCGTGTGTATGCGTGGGCATGTGTGTGAAGTGTGCGTTACGCTGTTGGCATTGTTGTTTGGCCACAATGTTTTCTTTTTTCCGCTTCGCATGGCTTTTTATTGCTTTTCTCTTGCTTTTTATACCCTGAACTCATTGAAAATCGTTAAGAAGGGTATCACGTTTTTGTGGATATATATGTATCAGGCGGAAGGAAGCGTCTCCGGCCTGACACTAACAAATTCTTGATCAGCATTCATCCTGTCACCCAGCCGAGTCGTACTAACTATGCCCGTTTGTGTAATCGCGTCGATCTTAGTGTCCTAGTCATTTGCCCTGAACATTTGAGAAAGATCGGACTTTAATCAAGTAGCGAGAGTGTATGTGTGTTTTTGTGTGTGTATTTAGAAGTCAGCTGGAATATATGTAAAGGCTGCTCGGTAGTGGGTTCAAGG